TTTGATCTATTTTAGTTTATTTTATATTGAATCAAAGCTTAAGAATCAACATTGATTCCTTAAAAATATAAATCCTTTCTAAAGTAATTTACTATATGAAGCCCAACAGAAGAGTTTTTTACCATTGAGTTTATGCTGCTGGGTACAGTTATCCGCTCATCTTTGTCTATATTCTGTTAACATAAAACAGAAAAAAACACATTTTTGCCATTTTGGTGTTTCCATATTACTTACATGTTTGCTAAAACTGTCACCATCTAGTGACAGTAAAACACTAGCTAGATAATCTTTAAAAACATCCATCTCCTCCCTGAGCTACTACAGAACGAAAACAACCAATCAGAGCCAGAAAGAGGGCCTTAGCGCTGTCAATCAACCTCGTAAACGCGCTGCTAAATGTGCAAATTGCACAACAACTTACTGTTACAAGAAAACGATTGATACGGTTCATTGGTGGCTACGCTAACAGGCTATGAAAGCTACTATGTATGCAGCATTTTGGAGAAATTGTAGTCGGCCATTTTTACAGAAGAGCTTTGGATTCAACACGTTCGAAAGATACACAATGTTATATGAACTGTGCGATGCTGTGAGGGGTCTGGTGGAGCCGGCAGCACGTTGTCTGAAAAAAACAAAAACATCATCCTTCTGCCACTTCCTGTCGTCGTCTTCGTCATTTTCACCAGTAGCAACATCCGGCTGTTGATCATGTGACTTGTGATGCATAAAAGGTGTTTGCTTCAATAATTTCTTAACATTGATGACAAAGTGCTACAACATGGGAAAATGTCTTGTTATAAGAGAAATAATCTGCCAGGGGAAACAGCAGCTTTTCATCAATACTGAGTAATTATTGATTAAAACAAGCTCTTGTTTCTTTTCTTAAAAAGTTACTTGTAAGTTAGTTTGGTCTCATTTCAAGTGTACTAAAATATTTGCACTAGAAACTAGACCTAAAATACTTAGTAATATTTTGTGTTTTTGCAGTGAAGGTTCATAAGCAGCCAGAGGAGTTTAGCAGGAGGGCAGAATAAATTAGTTTTTACTTTAATATATGTATAAACAAACCTTTATGTAAGCTTTCAAATAAAATAACCGTGTTTATAAATAAAATAACTTTCAAATAAAAGATAAGGATGTATACAGAGACATACAGAGACCACTGAAAATGATCAGTTTTTCTGATTTTACTCTCTATAGGTTCATGTTTGAGTAAAATGAATATTGTTCTTTTATTCTATGAAGTACTGACAACATGTCTCTGAAATTCTAAGCAGAAATTTTGTATTTATTTGCAGAAAATGCTTTCAGACCTCAAATAATGCAAAGAAAACAAGTTCATATTCATTTAGAAACAACAATATTAATGTTTTACCTCAGAAAAAGTTCAGAAATCAGAATTTGGAGGAACCAGGAGGTTTTTAATGCAGTGGGCTCTGTATGTCCTCCATCCATAACGTTGTTTGCCAAAACTCTGCTGTGCCTGAAGGTTTGCTGAATTTGGCCTCGGCCAACCGAAGCCCCCCAGTTCGTCTAACCTCTGCAGGACGAGCTGCCACCTTGCAGGAGGCTCCTCTGTCAGACGGCGAGCTGCACCTGCAGCCTGCAGCAGGGTGGGCCACCAAGCACACACTGGAACACATAAGTGCTTCTTCAGAGCTGATTATGCTGTTTACTCTTGCCCATACGCACAGCAGATGACTGTTTGCCTCCGACTGCTCCCTCTCTGCTGCATTTCTGAGCAGGCGTCTCTCCAAGTCAGGGAATGGTTTGCAGAACACTCAGGCTGTCTAAACAGCAGAGGACTTTTCAGAAACACGGTTTATTTTGTTGAGCTGTTTTCAAAAAGAAACAGATTATTCCACATTAAATAAAGATGACGCCAATCTTTGATGCAGTGTTTGTAACAGGGGTCTTAAGCAGAAAGTGTTTCAACCTAGCAGAAGTCTTGAGTCATCAATTTTTCATTTTGTATTACGTCCTTCAGGCTTTCTGAAGATTTTGCTCTTTTTCTTTGGGTTTTAGCATATTATCCATGTATTTTCAGTTTAAGACCCGACTCGATTGAGATTAAAGTTTTCGATTGTTTATCTGGTAACCTGCTTAACTTTAGCCTGAGTTATTTAGAGAAAGAAGACCCCAAAGTAAAATGAATGAACCAGTGTCATTAAACAATCTAAAAGCCAAACAATCTTGAAGGAATATATTTCCAAATTTCCCAACATTTTCCACTAAAGATACTTAATTTTGCTAAACATTCTAATGTGATATTAGTTTTCAAATGCATTTGTTGAGATTTTTACACAAAAATAAAACTTGTCTAGCATCAGACAAAAAAACTGACAAGATAAAAATGTAAATAAAATCTCAACTATGCAAATTAATTTCTTGAAAAACAAGAAAAAGTGAAAAATTACAGCAAAAATAATTTATTTCAAAGTGGAATATCTAAAAAATATTAAAATATGAAATTTTGTATTTGAATTGTTGTTAAAATAAAAATATAACAATTAAGAAAAACTAAACAGAAGTAATATTTATATTATTTTCATAAAAGCAGACCACAAAAATTACCCAATAATCCCAATGCTTAATCTCAAGCCAAGTTATGCAGACACTTTGTTTGCGCTCTTGAAAATTCCATTCATCTGAGATTAGTCTGGCCATGTACCGATACTTTTTTACTATTTTATTACCTAAGTGTGATATATTGTCAAACTTCTGGACTATTGGGAGACTTTGTGGTGTTTTTAAAGAGACATTTACACAATAAACAGAAACAACATAAAAACAAAACTGTGAGTCCATCGTTCTCTAAATAAACAAAGGGCAAAAAAAATTTCATTTGAGAGCAAATCTAAGCTTAATACTTTTTATGACAGAGTTTAGAAACTACAATGCTAAAGTAAAATAAAATTTCAAAAAGGAATCTGAAACTAAAGTATCGATCTGATACCGATTTGGTATCAATATTATTGATCCACCCTCCTCTAACGGTCAGTTAATCTTTAGACGTGAAGGAAAACTAACATTGACAAAATGATGACATCACAGCAAAAGTATGGACCCTGTCCTGACACATTGTTGATCCTAACACACACACACACACACACACACACACACACACACACACACACACACACATACACACACCCGCGCTATTTACTCTGTGTGTAAATGTGTTAGCTCATATTTGTAACTAACACTGACACACCTGGCAACAGAATCATTACTTCTTAGATTTTTAAGTTGAGTTTTTTATTTTAACTTTTCGACTGGGTTGTTTAATATCGATTTGATTATTGGTGGGGAATTTTATGTTGATCTTTTTAAAATGCTGTGGTCACATGTGTTAAACTCAAGGTCCAGGGGCCAAATCTGGCCCACCGCAGCTTTTTATGTGGCCTTCCAGAATAAAGACACTAAATTACATCAGTCAGTCCATCTAGTTTTTTACAAGTGCCTTAGCTCTGTCAATCAACCCTGTGTATGTGATGCTAAAGTTGCTAAAGGCAGACAAAGAACTTACCATTCTAGGAAAACTGTTTCTCTGCCATCATCAGCGGCTATGCTAATTAGCCTTAGCGCTCATGGCAGGTTATGACATGGGGAATTAGCTGTAGCTTAGCAGAGAGAAAAGGGAAGGAAGTGAGCAGCACATACACAAGCATAATTAACAGTGAGAAAATCTGTGATTTTGATTGCAAAAAGTCACAAAAACAATCATGAAATCGTGGAGACACTGATGAATGCTGAAAGAAGTTCAGTCTTAGCAGTTTGGCAGAGAAACCAAAAATGTCTTCAAGTAAAAGTAAAAAGTATCTGTCCAAGAAACGACTCCAGTAAAAAGTTATTTGGTAAAAAGGCGACCCTAGTACAGAGAAATGATCAAATTAGCACTTTTAATATTTAAAACTTACATCATCAAACCAAACCAAACAAAAAGTTAAGTGAAAATTTTGGTATTTTAAGGACAAAAATTACAATAATTCCTAAAAGTAACAAAAAATAACAAAATCAGGTGAATAAATGTTTCCAAATCAGTTTCTTTCAAGAAAAAACGTTTGAAACTTTAACAGGAACTGCAGCTGTGTGTCTGTGTGGTGAATGTTTGGTTAAAACATGTTTGATTTTCATTCAGTGGGTATAAAAAAACCAGAAATTTTACTCAAGAGCAGAAAGTAATAGAAATTCTCCTAAAAGTAGCAAGGGTTCGCTGTAAATGTAGTGTTTACTTCATTTTTTTCTAAAGCAGAAGTTTTGTCAAAAAAGCATAAAAGTCTACATTTCAATATGTTGTAAAAACTTTTTTTAAATAAAAATCTGTGGGGGGAAAAACAGTCCACAAGCATCCTCATTTCAAAGACATTCACTTAAATTTTCACTTTATGGTACATGTTCACATTTTTTATTGACTGTATATCAAATATATTTTAAATGTAACTGAAGATATGACATAATACAATATAGAATATTCAATAAAATACGAAGACTTAAATCTTGTATAGACTACTAGGTCATCAAATCACTACGTTGCCTGTAGGAATGTTTAATGTCCAGCAGGTGTCAGTATTGAGTGACACAGTATCGACACAGAATCGACACAGTATCGACACAGTTTTGCTATGTGTCGAAACGATACATGACGCCTCATCTACCCATCACTACCTAAAAGTATTTTTTTCTCAGAAGTTACTCGTGTAAATGTAACTGAGTAAATGTTACCACCCAACTCTCAGTACTTATGGACTGCAGGGACAGCTACTTGGGTTTTACTTTGTGTCACTTGGACCTGTTTGTTACGCGGTTCTTGAAAACATTCGTGATCTTGATTAGGGCCAAAATGAAAATGAGTTTGACACCCTGGCTTAGGCGATTCCTTAACGATGTCCACACGTGTGCTCAGAGGGGGGAAGGAGGAAGTTATTTTCTCGTTAGATTGTAAAACTTGTTAATGCACAGCTCCTTCCCTCCTGCCTCCTCCCGCCCCTCTCCAGGAGCCGTGCCTAGCTGCGGGGCTGGGACATTCCTGGTTTGACGAGCAGCCTGGTCGCTGCCATGATTTGCTGAGCAACTCGACACTGACTGCCTTCAAAGATGCGTGTGTGGAAGAGGCAGCAGTAGAGACGGGGAGCTTTAGAAGTTGCACTTAACGGGACAGGAACAAGCGGTTTCGGCCCGAAAAACTCAGGTCCAGAACCAGACTGGGGGAAGTTGGCGCACCTTGGCCGCCGAAGCCAATCGCTGCTTTACGGGTCTTAAAGAAAAACAAAACTTTCCACCTCCGAGAGTTCTCATGTTCCTCCCGTCACCGCGCACTTTGAGCCCGTTTCTAATGGAGGGCCCCGCACGGATTTGGGATCAGAATAATGCGTTTTGCCGCTGCTGAGGGACCCGACGCGTCGCAGCTTTCGCCCTCCTGGAAGAGAGGTAAGGCAGGCGGAGAGGGCTCGGGAGAAGGGTCGGTGTGCGCACCGGGGCCGGAGGAGCCTGAGTGGGAATAACAAAAGAAAGGTGACGCTAAAAGGAGCGGTGGTTGCGGTGTTTGGTTAACTCTGGTGAACGGGGGCGCCCCTGCTCGGCTCCGAGTTAATACACAGTTTGTGTATGAAGCCACGGTGCAGCATTATGGACTCTGCCTCTGAATGCATGCATTATGCGCCGAGCTGGCCTGGTTTTCTGCGTTATGTTTGCGATTCGGCACTGCTGGAAACAAGTCCTTCATCTTGAAAGGAAATAATGCTGATTTGGAAAAGTTCTGATCAGGAATGACGTGAAGTGATCTGGCGGATGGTTTAAAACAGAAAAGCAAGTATGTTCATCTCCAATATGCCTTTATTTTGCTTTTGATGCAAATATTAAAGATAAATAATAGAAAAACAAACACTTGTTTGAAGCTTAGGTGCTTAATTAGCTGAATATGAACAATTCTTGCATTTTTTTTTTTTTTTTTGCTTTTCTGGAATATGAAAAGATAACATTATGATATTTGATGATTATTTAGTCAGGCTATCTGCTCAGGTAGTCCAGTTGCAGCTTTAGTTTTAAAACATCCCCAAACTGATTGGTGTTCCTCCATTAGTTTATAAACAAACACCTGTTTGAATTGTCGAGTAATTTCTAAGTGTTTAACAGGATCTGAACCATTTATGCTGTCATTTGCTTTTCTGGAGTTTGATAAAAAGATGATATGATGAGTAATTAGTCAGGCTACCTGCTCAGGTAGTCAGTCCAGTTGCAGCTTTAGTTTTAAAACATTCCCAAAACCTCCATTAGTTTTCACACTCTGTTTTTTTACCATGGGAAATGTTTCCAAACATAAAGTTTAGTTTTCTTTTCCACAAAGGAAATGTTTCAGCCAGCGGACTGGCAGTGCACAGCATCAAGAGGGGAAGGTTGGCGTATTTTTCATGCTCCACATAAACAGAGAAGACGCCCACAGAGTCTCTGGCATTTATACCTCAATATCTGCGTTTGGTCCTTTAAACAAATTCAAAAAGTTGAAATTTAGATGCAACTTCTTGCTGCTTTCTCTGGGACGACTAAATTACAAACAAAAGCTTAAATAAACATTCCATAAACAGCACTATTGAGTCTTGAACAGTCGCCTTGCACCCTGGTAGAAAGCAGATTTCCTGCAGGCTGTTTTTCTGTTTAAAAAGGACAAACATGTCGCCCTGAACACATCAGTGTTACCTTTACATTTCATCACAACGGCCAAACAGAAAGTTTGTTTTTTCCCAAATCTCCTCCAGAGATGGAAAACTTTTTATCCTTTCAGACTTTGATGTCACAAAAGGTGCAAAATGTAGCGCATTAAGAACGCTACCTTCAATGAAGACGTCATAATTTAACAGGAATGTTTACTGGAAACGTGTTTCAAAGCATAGAAAGTCACTGGAACGGGTTTAAAATCTTGTTTTTTAGACCAGAAAAAGGTTTTCACATGAGTTTTAACGGTTATTTGCCAATCTGTTTGAGATTTAATTGGAAGATTCCTAAAACAAATCTTACACTCAGTGATTATAAACACTCGATTCCTGAGCCTCTTGCTCACACGTGTCGTCATTTACGGTGATTTTTGTCCCACATTGCTGGAGTCTGGGGGACGTTTTCAGAGAAGGACACCCTGAGACGGTTTTGGACCTGGAGTATGTCTCTTTCTCTCCCACATGCGTGACATGCAGTCAGTGGGACACACATGGCTGCTCTCAGATAAAATCCCTCCCCAAGTTCAAACAGTTGCACATGCATTGTTGCGTCGGCTGGGGGACAGGAAGACGCTTCTGATGGCTTTCAGATCCCTGCGCCGCTATCGACCAACGCAGAGCGGCTGGCTCTTGGGTCCAGCATCACATTTTGGTGCAAAGTGCTTTTGTTTCTCCGGTAATTTGCTTTTTTTTTAGTTTCTCTCCCTCAGTTTACCTCACTTTAACTTAATTGACTTGATAATTTTGCTAAATTACTGAGCATTTCTCACTTGCAGCTGTTTTTTCCTCTATTTATGTTCATAGAAATTTGCTTCTATGAAAGCCTCTCAACAAATTGTGAGTACAGATACGTTTTTAAACTTTAACATTTTGTCATGAAAAACAGGATAAATGTAAAAAAAAAAATGAATTATTTCAACAACAGCTGCCTTATTCTGAACCCAGTAAACCAGCTAGTTGAGTATTTTTGTCTAATTGTTTCCTCCTCAGTACGTCTAAGTTTTCGTGACGCTGATTGAATGAGATGTCAGAGTTTTTTTTGTTTTTAAACTGTTTTTAAAGCATTTTTTCCTCTTTTTTTGGGGGGAATTAATAAACCATTAGTGGCCCTGGCTCTTATCAGGCCGACCCGCACAAAGCACAACCGCGCCATTAAGAGGGCCTGAATAATCTTTGAGCTATTAGGGCGCTCGTTAATGATAAACACATGTTGCTGTAGGAAAACTATGTTAAGTGGGCAATTTGAATGTAAGCATGTGTAATGATACCAGCCTCTGCTCTCATAATGGCTCTCTTGATTTTTTTTTTCTAATGTTCGAGAAGCCACATGCACACCAGCAACGACAAATTATGGCTGAGGTTTCATTTAAGGTAAAAAAAAAAAAAAAAACAGGAAGTGAGGTCATAGGTGAGTTGTAATCTGGCTTTTACATTGACTGTGCCTTTCTTGGTTAATGTCAAAAACAAGGAAAAAATGTCAATAAAACTGTATTTTTGGGTGATTGTCACTTTTTTATAATAACCTTAATTACCTCTTCGTTTTAATAATGCGTGATGGATTAGAGGCTGAAGACCAGGTGTATCAAATGAGAGATAAAAGTTCAGCAATAATAAACTAAAACTTCTCCAAACAGAGTGATAGAGATTTTTATATACAGAAGTCCAGCTCTGACAAGTCTATATGTTGCATTTTTTACATGGTCATAACGCCAATAAAGCAGCATTAATGTCCTGTTTTTATGTTGTCACAAATTAAATTAAGATTTAATAAAGTTTTAAAAGTTCTCCATCAATGTAGAGTTATAGAGATCAAGCCTGGCCAATGTTTTTGCAGTTTTTAAACTAGAGATGATCAAATCCAGTCCAGACTCTTGAACAAACTGAAAACTAACCCTAAGATTGAATCAGATGCTAACTGTGTTTTTACAGTGCTTACAAACCATTTGAATTCTTCCTGTCATCGTTTTGTTACTCTTTTCTTCCTGGTATCTTGAACACTCTGCACGAACAATTAAACTTTTTAAAAGAGACTCTAGTATTTATGTAACCCAGCATCATGTGCTAGGCTAATGAGACGTCTTTGTTAGCCGACTCTGTCAACACAACAGAGTCGGCTATTTCGTGAGCATTTTATTTCGTGAATTTCTTGCCTTATTATGAAGAGATAATTAGAAATTTAGTGAATCTCACAGTACTAGCATCACTGTAATTAGATTCAGACGATCAAACGCAAACTTTGTAGAAACTGTAAAATAGCTCATTAGTGCAGACAAGAATCCGCAACACAGATGCTAACTGTTAGCTGCTAACAACTAGCCAGTCAGGGTTTTCTTACGTTGCTTGGATTTTGGATCTTTTTTATTTTATCTTATTAATTTTTGTTCCTTTTTCTCTGTCTATGTAACAAGATGCAGAAAATGTGTTTCAGTCTCGTTGATAATTGAAATGGTGGCATAAGTTGATTCCACCAAGAAGCTTGAAAGCTGATGCTAACAGTGAGCAGCTAACAATTAGCTGGTGACATTATTCTCACAAATGATTTAAGATGTAAATCAGTGAGTCTGACTGATAATTTCTCTTAATTTTTCCAGCCATTAGGCAAACCTGAATGCTTGTCCCAGTGTGAATGGATTTGAATTTTCCAAATTGTGTTTTGCTTCTTTATTTTATTATGGCGTCAATTTCAACAGCAGCTTGTGAAACTGGCCGTTATTTTAAGAACCTTCACTGCTCTTCATAGAAATGGACCAATTAGGACCGAGTTCAGGTTTTCGTCTGGATGGCTGATTAGTTTCTGATTTTTATTTGTGTATGCTAAAGAAAATAGTTCATGAAAGAGAAAAAAATATGCTCCAGTTTTCTTGTCAGAGACTGTAGTTTTGAATCTGATGCAAAATCAACTTTTCTGATTTTTATGCTGTTATAATGTTATTCCTTCTTCAAAAACAAACCTAATGTTGCTGCTTTGATTCCTTCATGCATGTTTGAGTTTATCTATCAACTGCATATTGATTGGCTGTAAATGGCATAATGAGGAGCATTGTTGTGATGACATGCTGAAGGTGAAGCGTCATTAAGAGCAGGAGCTTCTTAAAGAGACAGAGGCCCAATTTCAAGGCATCAGATATTAAATTAATTCTTTTAAAGTTATGCTTGACATATACTGCTTTTCTTTTAGGGTTTTGTTTGCTCTAGTGGCCTTTATTTTGAAGGTAGTTCAACAGGAAGGAGAGGGGAAGACATGCAGCAGGTCAGGAGTCGAACCTGCGACCACTGGCGTGACTAAGGCCTCAATATGTGGTCTGTGCTTTGCCCCTGCGCCACCACAGCGCCCCCATGCATACAGCTTTTTTATAACTGAATGAAACGCATAGTTACGTGATTGTCCTGTAGAATAACATGATGCGCCTGGAAAACTCTTCATACTGCCCCTTTAAGATTTCAGGTGGTTGTCGTTCATCATCTCCTTAACCCTTATGATCTTATTATGTTTACAAGCAGTGCATCAGAGTACGTCCTGTTTATTTACTGAAGTGTCTGGAGTTCTTAGTTGATCCATTTAATTAATAAGAGGGGGAACTTGATCTCTGATGGGCAGTGAGCTCAGCTACAACACAGAGGAATTTAGAGGCTTGTTTTATGGCTTCCAGCCAGTCATTCCCAAACTTAAAAACCCGGCGTGGTTTGAACTTCTGACGCCTCTCATTGCTCTGCGATTGA